AAAAAACACTGTAATCTGAGGTTTGTATTCGCCAACTTTTGAGCTTCGTATTCATAAAAAACACAACAAAAAGAGGTATATGTGTTTAACATTTCCAAAAAGTCTCTTGCTCTCTCTCTCTCTCTCTCTCAGTCAAGTCCTATAATAAGAGAACATTTCAGAGAAGTATATGTTGTATTGGAAACTGCATAGGGAAAAGTACCTGGAAGTTGAAACCTCCAGTTACACCATCGACATTCAATACCTGCACAATATCAGCTTCACCAATTGAAATATTAAATGATCCAAGCTTGAGAGGAAAATAAACTTAACTGAACGTAAACTTGAGAGGAAAAGTAAATTTAATTGAACTTCTGCAGTCACCGACAAAAAAAGAAAAGAAAAAAAGAAAAACAGTGGCAACTAGAGCACAGTACCTCCCCAGCAAAGAATAAGCGTGACCTGATTCGACTCTGCATGGTATTCAGGGATATCTGCAGTTGGTCCCACTATGAGATAAAATATATGGAAAAGTCACAGAGAGAGAGAGAGAGAGAGAGGACCTCAGACAGTGGAACACCTCCAGCTGTGACAAATTCATCCTTGAATTGGCCCTTTGTTTTAATGGAATTATCAGTTGATTGCAAACAATTTAAAAAAAATATATATGTTTGCAGATTAAGGTGGTAAATGATCTACCTTCCCTTTCACACGGAAGGAACAGTTTTTAAGTCGTGAAGCAATTGATGTTATTAAGTTGTTGGATATGGAAGCCCACAAAAGATCTTCAGCTAAATCCTGTATAATTAAATTGGTCAATGACAGAAAAATGGAAATGCCCAAAATCCAATGTACCATGTTTCAATAGAATATTCATCCAACCTCTTGTTCTACTATGTATCTCCAGAATCTCCTCATAATGCCAAATTCTGAAGGAAATGAATTAACGACCCTTTGCTTCTGCAAACAAATATTAAATCAAATCACCCGAACAACAATCTATGATCATACGGAGAACTTACTGAAGTCGCTGTCTATAATGCAGCATATTTTCTATAATTTCATCATTGACAACTCGTACGGTGGTTGAAGTGAACATTAGATTTTCCTCATCAATATTGACTGAATTTCTACTCATTCCATACAAGAGGATAAAGGAAACAAAAATGACAGTAGAATAGAAGATACTATTACTTGAAGCTTATTCTTGTGTTGAATAAGTAACGACTTCACATCTTCAATTCGAACATCAGGAACAAAATCTACAAGAAGTGAACCTGGATGCAAATATTCTTAAGTTATTACTGTGAGAAGATGGTAAAACCGAGTAGTAAAAAAACAATGAAGTATCTAAGTTACCTTTGTAATCAGAATCCGAGAGATCGCGTGCTCCCCAAGCAGATAAACGAAGAATCACTGGCCCACTAAATCCCCAGTGTGTAACCAACATGGGTCCAACCTTTTGTTTGAAAAGCAAGATTAGATTTCATGAAACTAAAGATGTTAAAAAGAAAGCTGCAAATGAAAATCCTGCCTGTGAATGCTCAGGTATGCTCTTCTGAACAGCTTCTAATTTCAATTTTGCTCTGACCTTAGGAAATGTAACCTGGGAATCAGAATGCAGGGGAAGAATTACAATCACTGAGAGGTGAAATAGCGATAAAAAAAAAAAGCAACAACTCATA